TCGAACCACAATTACTGATATCGGCACCACACTACTAATCACGGGATCGTGTGGCCGAAAACGTCCTGCAGCCGAATTTGACCCGCCAACTTCTTCTTTTTTTCTTTTTTTTACAGTTTGACTTTCTTTTTTTTGGGCGATTTTTCCACTAAAAATAAATTAATCTTAATTTTTTAAAAAAGGTTCTTCACATATTAGTCACCATTTCTCTCTAGTTTCTACACAGCTGCGAAGAAATTTCTCTGATTGCAACCACCTCAAACTCAAGATCTGCCCTTAAGGGATTCCCAGATCTCTCTCTTCGTCATTCCTGCTTTTTGCTCATCACCTGAACTTCAATCTCGCCGGCGAATTATCTACCGATCATCTCATCGGTGATAGTTCGACCTTTCAATTTGTCGATTCTGCTTCCAATTAACTGATCGATTGATTAGAAATGGCTTGCTTGTTCTTCTAAGTCTCTCTTTACCGGAAAGTTTCTCGCTTTACGACACTTCAATTCACCCTTACCTCTTCAAGTTCTTCTTCAAATTCTTACTTATGGCGATTAGAATTACCTTCACGTATTCCAGCTATGTTGCTCGGAATCTCTCTTCATCCGCCGGAGCCCGTATGGGCTCCGGGGATCTCCGATCCTGCTATGAATTCTGGGTTCGTCCCAGATTCTTCACCCACAAGCCCGATCTGGATAAATCTCCCGGATCTAACCCTTGGACCACCGGTTCTAAACCCCGGATCCGACCCACCTCGATGTACAGCAGCATCGCGAAGGAAATCATCGGAGAAGGGAGCCAGAGTCCGCTTGTGATGGGGTTGATCTCGATTTTGAAGTCAACGTCGGCTCCTGAGTCGTCGACGTTGAACGTCCTCGGGATTTCAACCATCAAGGCTTCTTCTATCATTCCGTTTCTTAACGGGTCGAAATGGATGAATCCGTCGGAAACTGATGTCGTGGACAAGGGAGGAACGTCGTGTGATGATGACAAAGAGGTGAGAAAATTGGTGTTGAGTGATAAGGAATCGAGTGGAGGAAACGGATGGGTTAATAAGCTTTTGAATATCTGTTCGGATGATGCAAAGGCTGCTTTCACGGCGGTCACCGTTTCTCTCCTTTTCCGATCAGCTCTTGCGGAGCCAAAGTCGATACCTTCCATGTCTATGTACCCTACCCTTGACGTGGGTGATCGTGTTATGGCCGAGAAGGTACTAAATCATAGTCTGATTTGTATAATGCTCATAATGAAATCGGTTTTTGCATGTTTAGGATGGCTATAGTTATGTACTACTCTTATGGTTATTGAATGTGTACAAATTGTTTTACTAAGCTTGATGGCACTGACGTGGAGGTTGTTCTTTAGGCAATTGTTAGTCTGCAACTTGAGCTTTTAGTTGTTTGGTGAGGATTGTTGTATGAGACTCTAAAGTTTATTATAACTAAACTGATCATTTTTTTGTGAAATCCGTGTGTGTGCCTTGGTGTTGGCCAGGTCTCATACTTTTTCAGGAAGCCAGAGGTCTCGGAAATAGTAATCTTCAAGGCTCCTCCGATATTGCTGGTAGGCTACTGGTCACAGTTCAAAGTTCTTGCTTTTTGAATGTTTTAACCTGTGTGTGGTATACGCTGTTGTGAATACGTATTTGATGGTCTCCTTTGAATTGCAGGACTATGGTTACAGTTCCAATGATGTTTTCATAAAAAGGATTGTGGCAAGTGAAGGTGACTGGGTTGAAGTAAGCCCTTATATCCAATCCACTTGTTGATTGATCCTATTCACCCATTGAAGTCTTTGTTCACCTTGGTCGGTATTGCTTCTGTAGAGGCTTCACACACACACAACAAGTTTTATCGGAAATGGACCCAACCCTTTATTCTTTTGTTTTGTCAAATTTTGTGTCTAACCTGTGGATGCTGTATCATGCAGGTTCGTGATGGGAAGCTCTTTGTGAATGACATTGTGCGAGAAGAAGATTTTGTCTTAGAGCCAATGGCCTATGGAATGGAACCAATGGTGACTAACTTGTACTTAATTTACCACATGCTCATCCTTGTTTAAGTATCGCATTTTGTTGATAAGGTTTGATTTTCATGTTTATTTGCAGTTTGTCCCCAATGGTTATGTTTTTGTCCTTGGAGACAACCGCAACAAAAGTTTTGACTCTCATAACTGGTACACTCTCTCTTTTGATTTAACAAGTTTGGTAGTTATCTATTATGAGCATTCTTGTAATGATCAGTGTTTAATCGTTGGCATTGTGTTGATACGTGGGAATGCAGGGGTCCACTTCCAATAGAGAACATTGTTGGAAGATCTGTGTTCCGGTACTGGCCACCGAGCAAAGTATCAGACACCATATACCACGACCAAGGTGACACAAAGGGAGCTGTCGCTGTTTCATGACAAAATAAAATCGGATGCTTCTTATTATGATTAAGCACAAGATTGTGCAAACCAGTCTGGTCAGAATTGGGCAGCAGCCTTGGTTCCATTGAAACTCAAAAGGTTATGATATCTGCGGATACACACTGTATCGTCATGGATTGTATGACATCTGGTTCTTGACGATAGTCGAGGAGCCGGAGATATTATGTGTACAAAAGGAATGGAAAGATGCAAAGAAAAGAAACCGTTGATGTGATTGTTGTGTGTTAGAACCCTGTAAACTAAGACAGTGTAAAGGCAATTGTCGAACAGAAAAAGGGTAGTTTTTTTTTTGTGAGTTTTGTTTGTTGTAATAAAAAATAATTGGGAAATTGTTATGATAATGTTCAAATTTGCTACCCCACCCATCGCTAAAGCCTATGTCATCACAGCTCGAATGCACCAGCCGGGAGTCGAACCGGGTCTGTACCGTGGCAGGGTACTATTCTACCACTAGACCACTGGTGCTTTGATTCTCATACACTAACAACTAAATATTTTAACGCATAATTCCCATGCCTCAAACAATTGTCAATTTTGAAATAAAAGACGATCCTTAATTTATGAGAATATATCAACCCTTAGTAGAATTATTAAATTGCTCATATATCATACAAATCTCACGATTGTTCCAAACTGGAACTTGTGGCCTTGGCTCATATTTTGCTATCTTGATTTTTTTGTTTATCTCGCGCTTCATTCACGATCTACGCATGGATCTAAAACTACTAGAATTTTTACAGATTCATTCAATCACGCAGGTTTAGCGAATCAAAAGAAAAAAAAAATGTATACTATTAGAGAAATCAAACTCTGTGAAAATATTTCTTTCTCATTCTTCTCAATCGGAAGTGAACAACCAAATACAAGTATATACAATTATCCTAAACCGGTAACTAAATCGTATAAATCACTCTATCTAACCAAACCAATATAAACCAAAATTGGATGCTTATATACAATGATATGTTTAATA